GTCTTGTTATCAGCAACATCCCTGGGTGGGATATTTGTTCTGCCATGGCCTATGACCAGGAAAAGAAAATTACGGTAAGTATGAATACATTTTTCTCTTTCCTGGCCATATCCATGGCAGCACAACAATGGGTAATACCCGAGCAAAAACCAACGGAGGGAAAGGAAAACTCAGACTACAAATTATTTAATGCAAATGTATTAGCACAATCAAACCAAATGTGACAAATTATTATTATTATCACCAATTATATAGCGCCAACAGATTCCATAGCGCTTTACAACATTAGAGGGGGTATTTAACTATAAATAGGACAGTTACAAGAAAACTTACAGGAACGATAGGTTGAAGAGTGCCCTGCTCAAAAGAGCTTACAGTCTATGGGAGGCAGGGTATAAAACACATTAGGACAGGAAATAGCAAGCAAATAAGGTGGGAGTGAAGCAGAGCTGAAGGAGAGAGTAGAGTGCTGCTCTTTAGGAGAGAGCAAGAGACAGGTATGTGAGGTAGAGGTTAGTCTGGGAGGCCATAAGCTTTCCTAAAGAAATGGGTTTTAAGGCACTTCTTAAACGATTGAAGACTAGGGGAGAGTCTGATGGCGATAGGCAGGCTATTCCATAGGAAGGGAGCTGCCCACAATTGCTGCAAATCGATCAAACTTATTCGTTAGATGCTGAAAGGATAGATCTGCCAAATTGATCATATTGACCAGCCTTTACGTCTACACGATAATGTCTTATAAAACTATTTGAAGATGACCAAGTAGCTGCTTTGCAAATTAGCTCTGGAGATTCTTTTGCTGCTGCTGCCCTGGATGAAGAGAGGGATTGTGTAGAGTGTGCTTTCAAACCCTGAGGGATCCTTGCTTTAGATGCTTTACAGGCTTGGATAATAGCTGAGACTATCCATCTGCTTATAGCTGCTTTAGATGCTTGAAGGCCTTTCCTAATACCATTACGAATGATAAAAAGTCTTTGAGAAATGTGCCATTTGGAAGTTCTATGCACATAAATTTAGAGGCATCTCACCAAGTCAATAGCGTTCCAATTTTCTGCTTCTTCATTGTTTTGTTCCTCTGAATGCAATGTTGGCAGCACTATTTCTTCATTTATATGGTGTAACGGATCACCTGGCACCCCGACTGGGTACCTCCATTGAAGGATGTGGCAAAAGTAACCGTGCCACTGGGTTTTGGAGGGGCCTGTTTGCCATCCTCCTGCCCTGCAAATGGCCCTGGGATGTATTGTCCTTCTAGGAACTGATTTGGGCATAATTGATTTTTATATTGCTGTTTCTGGCCCTTTAATTCCCAGAGAAAGGATTTGTACTTTTAAACTGGCACTTTGGATGCAGTCGAAGTGCCGAAGTCGTCGAAGTGGCCACCAATCGAAAACCGAACACGTGGCGGCGGCCATTTTAACTCATTCGAACGCGGTCAGCGGTGTGTGCAGCCAAATCTATGGAACTGTTTTCAGCTACCCAATTGCACGAACACCTTATACTCCACTTCGACACTGCAGCTGGATGTGTGGGATGTAACCATTGTTTGATTGGCTAATGTATAATTGTCTGTGGGCGTCTCCCTTGCATAAAAGAATTGCATGAAAGCAGAGTGTGTGTCATTAAACCAGAGCTCTTCTTCACCCTCAATCTAGAATCCTGTCTCTTATTGGGGGAATTGCTATATCACTACAAGGGATTGCTATGCTCTGCATACTCCCTTAGCTAATCACTACAACTAAACTACAACCCTCTGTTGCCTGTCACTCAGCCACTGCCTTACCCATTCAACAATATTGGAATCCAAACTTAAAGATTATTGATAAGCCTTCTATGTGCAACAGTGTCAAAAGCCTTACTGAAATCTAGGTAAGCAATGTCTACTACACCACCCTGATCTATAATTTTAGTTACCCAATCAAAAAAATCAATAAGATTAGTTTGGCATGATCTCCCTGAAGTAAACCCATGTTGTCTCTGATCTTGAAATCCATGTGTTTTAGATCCTTTAACATGGTTTCCATCACTTTCCCCACGACTGAATTAAAGCTTACTGGCCTATAGTTGCCCGACTCCTCCTTATTACCTTTCTTGTAAATGGGCACGACATTCGCTAACTTCCAATCTTCTGGGACTACTCCTGTTAACAATGATTGGTTAAATAAATCTGTTAATGGTTTTGCTGGTACACCACTAAGCTCTTTTAATAGCTTTGGGTGTATTCCATCAGGTCCCATTGACTTATTTGGCTTTCCTTTTGACAGTTGAAATAGAACCTTTTCCTCTGTAAACTCATGTGTAATAAATGACTAATTTATCCCTTTTCTTAACTGAGGTCCCTTTCCTTCATTTTCATCTGTAAATACAGAACAAAAATATTCATTGAGGCAGTCACCTAGACCTTTATCCTCTTCTATATACCTTCCTTCTTTTGTTTTTAATCTAACTAATCCTTATTTTACTTTTCTTTTCTCATTTATGTATCTAAAAAAAGTTTTGTCCCCATTTTTTACTGACTGTGCTATTTTCTCTTCTGTGTGTGATTTGGAAGCTCTTATAACTTGCTTAGCCTCTTTCTGCCTAATCTTATAGATCATTTTGTCTTCCTCACTCTGGTTTTTTTATAATTCCTAAATGCAAATTTTTTATTTTTATTTTATTTTTTACTATTTTGGCCACATCTTCGGAGTACCACAGTGGTTTCTTGAAATTTTTGCTTTTACTGACAAGCCTAATGCAATTTTCTGTTGCCTTCAGTAGTGCAACTTTTAAATAATCCCATTTCTCTTGGACTCCATTTAAATTGCTACAGTCTGATAATGACTCCTCTACACATATTCTAATTTTAGAAAAGTCTGTTTTTCTAAAGTCTAAAACTTTTGTTTTTGTGTGGTGTGACTCAGTCACTGTTCTTATATTAAACCACACTGACTGATGATCACTGGATCCTAAACTTTCACCTACAGTAATATCTGATACCAAATCTCCATTTGTTAACACTAAATCTAGTATGGCCTCTTTATGAGTTGGCTCCTCAACGACATGTTTTAGAGACAATCCCAGTAGGGAGTTTAGAATATGTGTGCTCCTGGCACAAGCAGCTATTTTTGTTTTCCAATTTACATCAGGAAAATTAAAGTCACCCATGATGATAAATTCCCCCTTCATTGTTGTTACGTCACCCTCAGCATAAAAGGGTTAAACCGCCGTTTAGTAGATCTTCCCTTCCAGAGACACAGGCACAGCTACTGCAGAACACCAATCCACCGAACAGGAAAAGCAAATGAATGCTGTGAACAGCCGAACCGGAACCATACGAATGCTGTAAACAGCCGAATAGGAAAAACCATATGAAAGGTTTACACTCCTAGCAGTCGAACTGGAACAGCATACAATAAATCCCCCCTCCCCCCAAGAACGAGACAAAGCTCCGTTTTGAGGGTCAAGCAGTGAACAGTCAGAGCTGTGGGTTTATTGTGCTTATGTACACATTCTTACACATTAGTACCACCCACAGGGTTTTGGAACACAACCAATAAACACATACAATACACTCAGACACTCCCACACAAAATCCTCCCCTCTGCCTGTGATATAATTACCTTACACAATGGGTAATGTAATTATAACAAGCAGAGAAATAAAATTTTTCCACATTATTCATAATTTGAAAAGTATGCATCACATTCACATTTTCAGAATCAGCATACTCCAAATACAAACATATGTCAAATTCATACAAATTGGTCCAATGGTTCAAAAGATAGATCGTAGTCCTTGTGACCAAAGGAAGCATGTTTTTTCTGCCCAAAACCAGTTCCACAGAGTCTTCTATCCTGGAGATAATTGGGAAGTAATCCAATTATCTCCAAAGACAGAGGCAAAACTCCATTGAACACATGGCAGCAAAAGACAATAAAACTCATAAAAACATATAACTCTGCAGCTATTGCACAAAACAGGTACATTCAACATATCCCCAGATAGCTCAGATCTGAGCGCACATTATTACTGAATGGCGCTCAGAGCACACACATACAGATCAATTGCTATGGAGCCAAAGTCTTTCTTTATACGACTAGGCTCCATGGCATAGCTATCTGGGGTATCACCACTCAAACAGGACAAGCACCAAATGACCCGGCTTTCATGTCTTTGCAGGGGAAAATCAAGCCTTTTAACATGGGGCCATAATCCAAAGGCAACAGGTGAGCAACCAGGCTTCTCCAATGCAATGTGGCGAGATTGGTTTCATCACATCTCTCCCCTTTTCCAAACCGACTAACAGGGTATCTGACCTCCTGCCGGTCAGTGCCCTTGTTAGTCCAGCAGCCCACCCACAACACACAAACAGTAATACAGCCCACCCACAATAAATGGTTACTACACCTGGGTAGAGGAGAACTTTGTCCATGTCCAGGTGCCTCACCACGGCTGTGTGGGTGACTGGTAAGCTGACTTGGTGGGTTGCTGAGTGGGCAGAGACCAGCGGTCTCACGGGAGTAGCCTGGTTGAAGCCTGGTTGTTGGAGGGGGAGACCGACTGTCTCCCCTTTGGTTACACCGCTAGGTTGCTGGAGGGGGAGACCGACTGTCTCCCCTTTGGCTAAACAGCCCTGTTGCTGTGGGGCAGAACCGACCGTCCCTACCCCCTGTGCTGTAAGTGCAGAGACCACGGTCCCATCTGCACGGTTGTGGGGTTTACTGTCCCCCCTGATATGTTAAGCTGCCGCTGGGGAGAGGGGATAACAAGCTCCTCTCCCATATATACTTCCAGCCGCGGGGGAGGGAGACGACTGTCTCTGCTCCCAGTACAGAGTCCTGCTGCTGGGGAAAGGAGGCTGGACTCTCTATTCCTTGTAGGACACTCTGCCTCTGGGGAATGGAGACTGGGCTCCTGCTGTATCTCCCGCTGGGGAATGGAGACTGGGCTCCCAATTCCCTGCTGTATCTCCTGCTGGGGAATGGAGACTGGGCTCCCAATTCCCTGCTGTATCCCCAGCGGGAGATACAGCAGGGAATTGGGAGCCCAGTCTCCATATCTCCCGCTGGGGAATGGAGACTGGGCTCCCAATTCCCTGCTGTATCTCGCGCTGGGGAATGGAGACTGGGCTCCCAATTCCCAATGACTCATACTGCCGCTGGGGAATGGAGACGGGGCTCCCAATTCCCTGCTGTATCTCCCGCTGGGGAATGGAGACTGGGCTCCCAATTCCCTGCTGTATCCCCAGCTGGGGAATGGAGACTGGGCTCCCAATTCCCTGCTGTATCTCCCGCTGGGGAATGGAGACTGGGCTCCCAATTCCCAATGACTCATACTGCCGCTGGGGAATGGAGACTGGGCTCCCAATTCCCTGTAATTCACACTGCCGCTGGGGTTCTGTGCCGACTGCCCAGCATCCCTGTAGCTCACCCTGCCACTGTGGGAGGGAGGACGCTGCTCTCCTCTCCCTGCAAGGTACACTGCCCCTGGGGGATAGGACCAACTATCTCTGTCCCCTGTAACTCAGCCTGCCGGTGTGGAATGGAGCTTGGGCTCCCAATTCCCTGCAGGACCGGTGGAGAGACCTCGGTCCCATCTCCACCAGCCACCTGGGGTTCTTCCCAGTAACACTCTGCAATATCTGCCCAGCTGAATGGGTCTGGATCTGGGTCTCCGCTTCCCTGCTGAGCCTTCTCACTGGAGTGGAACAGATCTTGGTAGCCCTGCTCCAGCTCCATCTCTCGGGTCACTAGGTGGACCAGGTCTTGCTCAATCTCTTGAGTGTCGTCCCAGTCATACCTGCTCTCCCTCTACTCCAAGAGATCACTGAACCGAGCTTGTGTAGAGCTCCCAAACTCAGGCTCTGAAAAAGCCTCCCATAACAAACCAGGACCATCAAACTCCCCTCCCTCTGGCTTGTCATGCTCGGCTTTCCAGGGCAGGTATTGTGCCCCATACCACCAGAGCGCCTGGTAGGCATCTTCCAGCCAAATCTCCTGCCATACCCAGAGCTCCAATTCCTCCACCCATTCCTCCAGGGGCTGCTCTCTCGCCCTGCTCGCCCCGATGGTACTCCACAGTGCCCAGTGCCTGGTACCAGATGCCTTTGCGAGCTGCATCTCGGTCATCCATGACACCCTCATCGTACTCCACTGCTGGTTCCATCCTGATGCTGTCAGGGTCACTGTACTCAGACATGCGTTGTCCTCAATTTGTAAAATCCAAAGAAATGGTGTCTCCTGTAGCTGTCCTTCTGGCTGTAGGAACGATCCCGCTGCTTGCCACCAATTGTTACGGCACCTTCAGCATAAAAGGGTTAAACCACCTGTGGCAAACCTAGCCACTTGGGACTGCCTAAGATAGAATGGTTGTGCCTATTTTCTGTTGTGTACTGTGCGCCGGTATAGTGTGGCGTCTCCGGCTATGTTTAATTTATGCTGTACTGTGTATGTCTGTTCGAATCCTCCCCCTTCGTTAGCATTGCTATTAAAACTGACTAAGTTGTATATTTTGAAGTAGAAAGGTAACGGTTTATGTCCTCGTAGTTTTCATTACTGTATGTTACAGCAGGGGCTGTTGGGAGGAGGACCTGGAAACGGTAGTCTCCCTCCAGTCCCCTCAACCAAAACCCCTGCTGCCCATCTTTGGAAACCCCTGTTGAAATATCAGTTATTTTTAATAAAGTGACAGTTGAGTGATCGGCTTTAAATATCAGTCTTTTTGAATAAAGTGGCAGTTGACTCTCAGACTGTGTTTCGTCTGGTTCTTGGGAGGATTTGGGAATATTGCCTGCTTCCAGCTTTGTACTTGGTTATTGCATTCTACCAGCAGAGATCCTGGGATTATAAAATTGCAGCTCCGCAACAATTGGTGGCAAGCGGCGGGATCCAACCGTACAGCAGGAAAAACGCTGTTTATACAATTGGAATTGACATACTGGAAAGCAGAAGGCAATTGATACAGATGCAGAAGTGAATGGGGACGGACTACACCATATTGAAACGGCAAACGTTAAAGGAGCTGTTGGAAGCCAGGGGTAAGATAGCCAGCAATAAGCCTAAAGCAAGACTTATTGCCGAGCTAATGGAAGGAGACCGAGCTCGTAGTGCTACACCCCCAGCAAACATAGAGGAGACCCCATTTGAACGAGAAATGAGGACAAGATTGGCATTTTGGCCCGCTCCAGTATCTCCAGAAATTATGACCATAATTTCGGCGGATGCACAGGAGTACGTGATGGCGCAAAGGAATCAAGCCTTCTCACCTCAAGCAGAAACCGCTGCTGTTTCAACTGTGGGCCAGGGAAGGCCAAAAATACCACATCATGCATTTAAAACTTTTTGCGAGGATAAAGACGAAATAGATGGATTCTTGCAAGATTTTGAAAGATTGTGTGACTTGCATGATGTAGAGCAAGCTATGTGGGTACCTTTGTTGGCAGGCAAACTGTCTGGGCGTGCAGCAGACGCCTACCGGGCTGTACCCAGAGAGGACAGCAAGAATTATGACAAGGTAAAGCAGGCGCTATTAGAAAGGTATGCCATTACCCCAGAGGCATACCGGCGCAAGTTCCGAGAATTGAAAAAAGGGGACAAAGACTCACATGCGGAGTGGGCACACAAGCTTGACCAAGCCTCACAAGGCTGGATACAAGCCAGCAGAGCTACCACCATGGAAGAGTTACGCCAGATGTTGCTACTGGAGCAGTTTTGTAATGGCCTGGCACCAGAGGCTCAAGAATGGGTGAATGACCAAAATCATCACACCCTAACCGAAGCGGCACGATTGGCCGACCAACATTATGATGCTAGGAGGCATCATAAAAATAATAACCGAGGGTATGCAAAACCCAACCCGCAACCGTTTCCAGTTATTGCTCCTGCCCCAGCGACAGCACCATCCAGACCAGCACTTGTGGGACAACCTCCCCACTCCCGTTATAATGGCAGGCCCAACATCCAGTGCCATGCCTGTAAGCAATGGGGGCACATGGCCCGGGAGTGCACCCAAAACCGGAGCCGCAAGAACTGGAATCAGCTCCGGCAGAATATGGCCCCGCGGGCAGCTGCTCATTATTATCATGCAGAGACAACTTTGCCAGGAGTGCCGCTTGAGTCGGCTGATGAACCCCTGGGCGTTTTGCATGATGTAATGTCCATCCATGCTACTGACAACCGACATCCACATTGCCAGACCGTGACTCTGGAAGGGAAAGAGGTACAGGGGCTACGTGATTCCGGCGCTACCTTAACTTTGGATGCCCCGCATTTGGTGTCAGGATCAGCACATACCGGGCAATCGGTAGCAGTCCGGGTAGCAGGGGGTGCCATGTACCGGCTACCAACTGCCAAGGTACATCTGAATTGGGGTGCGGGGGAAGGTATGGTGGAGGTGGGGCTGATGCACAAGTTACCAGCTGATGTTGTTTTGGGGAATGATCTGGGGCAAATTACTTCCGCTTTTGTGCCCCAAAGTCCTCGCCATGAGGCATATCCAGTGACCACCCGTCAGCAGGCTCGCACCACGGCTTCATCTTCCACACACTCTGAGGCTCAGGTAGGAGACAATGTACCCCGTGTAACCCGTGTTTCCTGGGATACCCCGACTGACTTTGAGGCAGAGGTTAAAAACGATCCCACGTTGCAAATTTATAAGGATAAGGCGACAGCTGGTCAGACAGGTATAGAGGGAGAACAGTATGTATGGGAGAAAAATCTGTTATATCGTGTTGCTGAGCGGGTGGTAGGGGGGTCTGTACATGTGACTAATAAGCAGCTTATAGTGCCCCAGAAATATCGGCAGGAACTGCTTAGAATTGCCCACGATATTCCGCTGTCTGGGCATTTAGGGATGACAAGAACGAGGTACAGATTGACACATGCATTTTTCTGGCCAGGTATATCTAGAGATGTGAGACAGTATTGTCAGACATGTGACATTTGTCAGAGAGTGGGAAAAAGGGGTGACCGCCACAAAGCGAAATTGTGCCCCCTTCCCATTATTGAAGAACCCTTTAGCAGAGTAGCAGTGGATATAGTAGGACCACTGTCCAAGCCTAGCCCTTCCGGCAAGCGGTATATTCTGACCATTGTAGGATTATGCCACCCGGTACCCGGAGGCTATAGCCCTTTCCAATATACAAGCAGAAACGGTAGCCGAAGCTATGATGAAGATATTTTCCAGGATGGGATTTCCCCAAGAGATAATTTCGGATAGGGGGACCCAATTTACAGCCGAAGTGACCCACCAGCTATGGAAGTTATGTGGCATTAAGCCAATTGTAAATTCTGCCTATCACCCGCAGTCCAATGGGTTGTGTGAGCGCTTTAACGGTACCTTGAAGCAGATGCTCAGGACATTTGGGGAGTCCCATAAAGACTGGGAGAGGTTTTTACCCCATCTGCTTTTTGCGTACCGAGAAGTGCCACAGGAATCTACCGGCTTCTCTCCGTTTGAGTTATTGTTTGGGAGAAGGGTGAGGGGACCCCTAGACTTAATTAGAGAACATTGGGAGGGGGGGAGCAGTGCAGATGGAGTCCCCATTGTGCCATACGTGCTGGAGTTCCGGGACCGCTTGGAGGCTCTAACCCAAACCGTACGGGAGAACCTCCGGGCGGCTCAGCGGCGACAGCGCCGGTGGTACGATAGGGGAGCCAGAGACCGTAGCTTCCAGGTGGGACAGAAAGTTCTAATTTTGAAACCTGTCCGCACAGACAAGCTACAGGCCACCTGGCAGGGCCCATACCAAGTGATAGAACAGAGATGTGACACCACTTATGTGATCGGCCCGTGCTCTGGGGTAGGGAAACGACGCATGCTCCATGTGAACATGCTCAAACCCTATCACCAGAGAATAGAGGAGGTAGCAGCCATCTGTGCCCCAGCCACTGAGGATTATGAGAATCTGCCCTTGCCAGACATGTTAGAAAAGGAAGATTCTGCAGAAAACGCTACAGGTGTGCAGCTGGGGGAGCGGCTAAGTCTCCAGGAGCGTGCCCAGGTACAGCAGTTGATTGCGGCAAAAGGTGCTACCTTCTCCAATTTACCAGGGTACACTCTGTTAGCTACCCACCGAGTAGAGACCCCAGGACAAAGACACAAGTATTGGCGT